TTGGACTATACTGACCTGCAGTTCTTCATGCAGCAGGGACTTCGACTGCCTTAACTACTGCTCAGTCTGACCAGCCCTCCATCTGTGCTTTCTGACTGAAAAATAATAATTAAAAACACATGTCTTTTCTGCTCCCTAGTTTTCTCCTTGGTACCATACCCACTGCTGGTTTTGTTTCATCATCCTTTTTGCCCTGTGTGGCTGGCTTTGGGGTAACCACATGTTTCAAAGCTGATGCAGCATCTTGCAGAATTTTCAAAACTAGCTATCACAACACTTTTGCCTACTATTTTGTGCCAACTTAGGCTTTTTAAAAGTCCTACCTGTGATCTCTCCAATCAGCATCTGAGATGGACGACAGCAGCACCTGTCTAAAAAAGCAGCAGGGACTTTACAAGGAACTCTGCTCTAAAATACTTTCACTACACTCATATAGTATTTTTGCTACCAACAACACCTTGATTTAAAAAAAAAAAAAAAAAAAAGCCAGGAAGATAGCTCAGTCAGCTGGTATTCAAGCAGAACTACAGACCACTGAAGGGAAGCTGAAGTGGGTGCTGGGAAGATCTTTCACGATTCCTTTCTTGTCTCCTGCCCTTGGTCCAGCTTTGGCCACTTCCATCACATGCCAGATATTGGACAAATGAGAAGATAAGAAATCGCTTTTGTAACAAAATTTATTTTTTCTCTGTGGATACAAATCCCAAACATCAACAAACAAATTCCAGTGGAAAAATACCAGTCATAACAATGAAAACTTTTATTATTATTTAATAAATAGAACTTTGGCATTCAAAATTGTAGCTGTAAACCCTACTTTAAAAAAAAATTACAAAAAGAGGCAAGAACAACAAGCCTAAAGCTGAGCCAGCCAGTGGCTCCTTTACTTTTTACAATGAACACATTTTGATTAAGTCATGACAACTCTATTTACATATGAGGTATTCTGAGAGGTTCAAAAACTGACCCCAATTTACAAAACTACCAGTCTTCAGGGACTGATCCAGTACATATATGTCAGCTGTGCTTTTAAAAGATAGCTCCAGACACTCT